ACTTTCTGTCCTGCTCGAACACTTTCCTCAAGTGGGGGGTGTGGTTGATCTCTTCCTTTGATTTGAAGATCATGTCGTCCATGTCGACTTCGAGCATGTCGCCTATTTCGTTGCAGAAGACTTTGTTCATCATACCCTGGTATGTAGCGCCCGCGTTTTTCAGGCTAAAGGGCATTACTTTGTAGTAATAGTTTCTCGACTCGGTCATGAAAGCAGTATATTTTTGTCCATTTTCTCCATTGGAATCTGGTTGTAGCAAAAATATGCGTCCATAAAAGATAATAATTTGAAACCATCCGAATTTTCGACCAATTTGTCAATATTGGGCAGGGGATAAGCATCTTTCAGGCAAGCCCGATTAAGGTTGGTATAGTCAATGCACATGCGCCATTTTCTATTAGATTTCTTTATAAGAACTACATTTGAGAGTCAGGTTGTGTACTGGGCTTCAGAAATAAAATGTGTCTCTAAGAGGTCTTTTACAGCTAGTTCGGCAACCTCCGTTTTTTCGGGGGACTGTTTTCTTCTTCATTGGGCGACCGCCTTAAGGGCAGGGTCTATGGTCAGGTGATGGCATGCAATCTATGGGTCCAATTCGGGCATCTCAATTGTGCTCCAGGCGAACAGATCAGCATTCTCCTTCAAACAAGCTTTAAGTTGCCTCTTCGCCAAGTCGCGGAGGTCAGCTCCGATATTTACTCCTCTGGTGGGATCGTTCTCAAGGGGGATGATCTCAAAGTCTCCGTCCGAGATGGGTCGTGTAAGATTTGAGAGTTCCTCACTATTTGCAGACAGGGGGTGAACCTTCTCCTTTGACCATGGGCTATTTCCCTTTCTTTCTTTACTCTGCACGATCCTCTTTGGAGAAGCAACTGTCGAGATCAATGACGTCGACCCTTGGCAGTGGCTTGACTTCCTCGGAGCTGGAGGGCAGCGCGGCCCCAATTGTCGTTCGGGGTTGAGCGTTGATGGAACTCAGGCCCTTGTCTGAGGCTTTAAAACATCTTCTTTCCGCTTAGATGTCCATGTGGACGGTGGCGACCAAACCCTCTGCAGTGTAATACTTCATTTTGAGGTGCACGGTGGAGGGATTTGTGATCAGTTTGGCCAAAGTGGGCCTCCTGAAGATGCATTGATAGAGAGACGGGAAATCCACTACCAGAAATTGAGTCTTGATGGCTCTGGCAGTCACCCCTCTTCCGAAGGTGACGATCAGCTCGACGTACCCCCAAGGTTTGGTATTGGCCATGTTGAATCCCTGGGGATCTGAGCCTACGTACGGGGTCAGGTGGCTTTCGTTCAACTATAGGGTAGCAAACAGTTGAGTGTACATGATGTCTACTAAGCTACCTTGATTGACCAGTATGCACCGAACATCAAAGTTTGCCATGCGAGCCCTCACAAGCAGTGGGATAGTCGAGTTGGGGGCTCCGTCCGGCCGTTCCTCCCTGTAGAAAGCGAGGGAATGAGAGCCTCCTCGAAACTTGTCTAACGTGGCATCCATGTCAGAATTGGATTTTATAAGTTTCTCGATCTTCTTTTTACGGATTCCACTGTATGCTTGTTGAATCCCCCACTGGAGATGACCATCGCAACAGGGAATGATTCCCAAGAACTGTGAGAGGAGAAGTACAATGGGATGTTCTCCATGTATGGGAATTAGAAATATTATGATCGTGAGATACTCATGGCGACCTGTATCGCGCTAATATCGGGGGACTCCTTCCCCTCTTTGATGCTCTTGGTTTCTAGAGCCTTCTCCTTGGCACCCTATTTCTTCTTGTACTGCTTGAGGTGCCCATCTCGGATTAGTATCTTGATTGCATTCTTGAGATGGATGCAATCGTCGGTGTTGTGATCATGGCTTTTATGGAACCTGTAGTACTTTCTCTTGTCGATTCCAGGCTTGGAGGGTGTCTGTCGGGGAAAGTGCACCCCGACTTGTTTGAATTCAAAATTGGCGCATTCTGATAGAATGTGTTCCCTCGTAGTGGTTAGAGGGGCGTAGTCGTGAAATAGACCATCAGGCCCTTTGTAATTTTTGGAGTCTTGAGATTTGTCTTCCCGCTTCTTTTCTCCCCCCCCCCCCCCTCCAACGGGACGTCGAGGGCTCGTTGCTTCTTGAGGACTTGGAACTTTCTCGGTGCCTTAACTCCCTGGCATTGTTGACTGCTTCTTTCTCCTCGTATTGAATATATGCTTGAGCCTTGAGGAGGAGAGAGTCAAGCGTGGCCGGTGATTCGATGTCCACCACTCTTGCAAAGTTGCTACGGGGACGGAGCCCGCGTTCAATGAAGTATTTCTTCATGGTGTGGTTGTGGAGGCCTTTACTGCTTATTTATTAAAGCGCTCAACATATGCTCACAAAGACTCATCTCTGCCCTAGATAACGCTTTAAGTGAAGGTTCTGATTTTGGATGTCGACGGGAGGCAGTGAAGTGTCTCGAGAACATCCTTCCCAATTATTTCCAAGAGGTAATAGAATCGTCCGGGAGGCTTTTATACCAGGACATGGCTCCTTTCCTCAGGGTAGTCGGGAATATTCTGAACTTGATGGCGCCCCTGACCCCTCGGTAATCGAGGAGGGCGTCAATATTCTCTATATGTTCATTAGGATCGGTCGTACCGTCATACGTTCTCAACGAGGGTGGCTTTTCCAGGCCGACTGGGAGCTGAGTCTCTGTGATCTCTCTTGATAACGGGCCGCAGGGCTCGTCATCGTCTCTTTCCTCGAAGGATGAAGGCGGGGAGGGATAGTTCCTTCCCCGTCGGGCATCGTTGTCTCATCGGAGGGAAGGGCTCCTTCGGTGCTATCTTGGTTTGGGCGACGGTGATCGGCCGCGGTCAACTTGGCGGTCGCTCTTCTTCTTCTTGGAAGATGGAGAGCTTTTATCTTTCTTGGGAGGTGTGCAGTTGCGTTTCTTGAAGAAAGAAACGTCACGCTTCTCCTTTCTTGGTGGACGACCATGTCTAGGCGGGGATATGCTGGGGGAATCATGTCATTGGCATCTCTAAGGAGGAGATTTTGACTGCTTCTTCTCCCAGACTCCTATCTTCTTATTCTGCTGCAGGATAAGAGCGTTAGTCTGGTTGAGGGCAGCAAACAATGCTGCAATGGCCAGGTCGGTGTTATGAGGAATGGGAATTGGTTGTAGAATCTCTGACAGTTCCTCGGTAGGGTTCGTGGGACACTGCTCGTCCAAGAACTGATGGCCGTTGCGCTGGACATTGAATGAATCTGGGGATGCAGTCTAGCCGTCGCGAAAGCCGAGGTTATCCTCGAGGTGAGGATGTTCTTGAATTTCGTCGGTCTTATGCGTCGGGGAAAGTGCAGTCTTTCCAAATGGGTGATAATCATCACGGTCGACCATGATTGTTGAATGAGGAAGATCTTTGGTCTTCAGATTCCGGGGAACAGAAAACAGGGAAGATAGTTTCCCACGGACGACGCCACTGATCTTACCAGTTGATTAGAACCTGCAAGGTGGCCGGATGATAATCTTCTGTCGGGCTGAAAAATCGAGGAGGAAAAAGAGCAGCTGTACCTGCAAGACACTTTGAGGATCAAGTAAGTGTGGGAGCAAAAGAGATACAAACAAAGTATTAGGATTTTAGTGATGAATAGTGGATATTTGATACCTGGCCCTCACATGAGTGATGGTTTATATAGTGTCTCTGGCGTTTGACTATTGGTTTCTATTTTTGGGCCTAGATATGCGGGTCCGTAAAGATAAGTAACGACCAGGACTTGGTCAGACCGAACAGGTGTACCCGTTACTAGTCGTTGGTTTCGAAGAGGAGGTAGGTTACGGGCAGCGGTCTGATCGGTTCCTGATTGTCCGGCCGACTTGAGATCGAGCAGACTGAGAGGCGCTCGTCGGTCGTCGTAGGTCGATGTTGGCCCAGAAAGACAAACGGTCGATGGTGCCCGGCAGAGTCCGGGGAGCCCGACCGTAATCGCACGGGTCGTGTCGAAGGAAGAGGTCAGATTGAACCTATTTTAATTGTCGGACCAATCCAGAACAATATTTCTCTAACTGTTCAATTTTGAAGTGAATCAGTTCAATTGTTCTGTTTTTTGAAACGGGAATGCAACTACAAGGTCCTAAAGTGGGTTTAAAGTTATCATTTTTGGTTTTACTTTAAGTGCAACAATAACAATCTACAACATTGTGTGCACATGCTTTATAAACCCTTGAATAGAAGTATCTTAAGCTAATCAGTTGTTAACAGTGCTCTAAATTTTATCTTGAAAGTACAAGTCAAACACATTTTGAAGTAACAAATATTTTATTTTTTGTCTGCAAAAATTCCTTCTTTTGGTTAATGAATCAATGAGAATGCTTGAGGCCAGGGTGTACTTGTTTTTACATACAACTGTTCACTTTCATTAACATTTTGAAGTCTGAACTGTTGTTTAGTAGTAGTATTTATCATAATCCATCAAACTTGGTTGGCATATTTAATCCACTTATAATAATAAGCTATTTTGAATAAAATATATACATATACCAATGCACTATTTAAATAATCCACTTATAATAATAAGCTATTTTGAATAAAATATATACATATACTAATGCACTATTTAAATAAATTTGATCAAGACAGGACGTTGAACATTGTTACAGTTCAAATCTGTATGATATTTACTTTAAATTCTAACAAGTTTCGACCAATGATGGACTCGTATGGAATTCTTTAAATTTGTTATCATACATTGTAAACAACAACATAAAAGGTTCACAATTCCTTCCGTGGTTCATCACTTTATTCTTTCTACTTTCATTTTTCTCGTAAATTTTGATTCTCGCAAAATTACAGTTGAAAACTAAAGAAAAAAAATACAGGGGATAGATTTTTCAAAGAATGAATTTAAAAAAAAGAACAGAAATAATCGGCAATCTTGAGAGAGCCCTTAGAACATTGAGATGTTTTGGGGGTTATGTTGTCAAAATTGTTTCTCAAGAACCTCAAAACAAAGAAAAAGCCTCCTCTGTTCAAGGGGCCATAAGTCCATCAATTGTGTAAGAAAGATCCTTTGCCCAATCCGCTCTAAGCAGCAAAGTCTGCAGCGTCTGCATCACATCGTACCCGGGATCAAGCTTTCGCTGCCAACCCTACAAGATATATGATTACAAATATTAATCGAATCACGTCAGCAAATAGAAATGCTTGAAACTTCCAAGTTTTTTAGTTACTATGATATTAGAGAACATGGCAAACAGAAGAAAAATAGTTACCTCAAGAACCAAGGTTGTCACCATGACAGTACAAACATTACCATCAATATTAACTCTATGACGCCTAACTTTCTCGAGTAATTGCTCCATGCACTCTGCAGGGTGAACTATGTCACCTTCAGGGGTGCCCCAAAAATTAAACGACTCTTCCACTTCCTGATAGGAAACAAAGGTAATAATGAGTGAAATAGTGAAAGACTCATAGTCAAGGAGTCCATGAGCACACACAAATTCTTCGTAAAATAAAATGAAATTCAACATTCAATTTCAATCAGCAAGTTGGAAAAACAATTACCTCGATAAAAGCCTTTGGATTAGGGCAATTCTGTTTCTTTGATAAACTGAGTGCGCATTCTGCAGCAGTGCGGCCATCCCGGCGGGCAACAGATTTGAAAAATTCAAGCAAGTTTACCCTATCACTACCAGAGAGTTCGGCAGTCATGCCTACATCTAGAAAAATTACATGAGGCTTTGATTTGAAAAGTCGTTTGCTAGACTTTCCTCGGACAAGGATATTTCCAGGATGCATATCTGCATGAATGAAGTTGTCCACCTGGAAGAAGACATTGCATGGTTAGGCTAGAAGTATATAATGTTCCATATTTGAAACTGATATGGGAACTATGCTGCTTTTACTTCATATTAAAGATTAGGATGTATATTGTCATTAAATAAGATTGAGCATGTGCAGTCAAAACCATACCCAATGGAAAACCAATTTTTCAGTAAAACCATTCCTGCTAAGGTCTTTGTTAATGGTCACACCCAATGTTTCTAGACCTTCCTATACCCTAAATTCTAGTTGCACGCATGCAAAGACACTTCTAATCCCAGTAAAAACATTTTCTAACAGCCAGTGTGTGTAAAGAAAAGGATTTATGATATCATTTACAACCCGGATCTGATATCATTGATCCGGCCTCACACTGGTCAAACCCGTTGACTCGCAAGTTTTTTTTAAGTACAAATTGATTTGCGAGCTTCAGGTGACTAGAAAATTAATTCCCGCTGATGTGAACAATTTTCTAGCTGCTTCAACTTTAATGCACACTTTTCTAGCTGCTAGGTAATATATGCAGCAGCAAGAGAATTTCAGAGTGCAACTGGATATTTTGATTCACAAAAACTCAGCTTAAAGGAATTGAACCCATAACTTTTTGTGTGGTTTTCGGTCGTCTTGTCACTAAACCAACTTTAACACATGAAATATAGCAGAAAAACAAATATATAACACAATAAAGTTAGGTCAATGCTAACAAGTTAGTGCCTAAGGGTACATGTTAGGGAACTCAATATAGTACTATTCATCTTAAAACCCATGCATTCAATTTTCTAAAAGTTAAAATTTTGGTTTTTCAATGCAAAATTTCTTCTTTTGGATTCCTAACCATGTGTTCTTAGGGTACAAGTTAGCAAGACGCATAAAGTTATAATTTTAATATAATTCAATTCATGTGGTCTAACCAATGACCCGTTAGTCCAACCAGTAACCCATTGACTTAGTACCTTGTCCGGGTCGATGACCGATCCAGGTTTTAACCACTGATATAGGACTACACTTGTCATTTTTCTAAATGGGCTAACAAATTCTCTACTACTTTGTATAATTACTTGAGATAAATATTCTGATTGTATAATGACATTGCAAGGCTGTCCTTTATAACACTTCGTCTTTTATGGCGCATAATAAATAAACAATGCCCAAAATGACTCTATCCAAAACAACAAGATAGTAACGACATTAAAAATTGCAAATGAAATATATTTTACCAGAAGCATCTTCAAAAGTGCATGAGTCCCGATGTGAGCAAGAGCAGATTTAAAATGCTCATGTCCTTGAAAATCATCGACATAATGTGCGACACTTTCTCCCTTTTCATATGTTTCTACCAAAACAGCAGGGTGGACAAGTGGATAGACAGGCTTAGGGAAAGAAACATCCTTCCAGCTGCGGAAATTATAAATGAAGCGGTTTAAATGGGCAGCTTCCCTAGCAAGGTCAACTTGGGACATCATGAAAACTGCAAACTGTTGTACACTCTCATCTAATCTTAACCACTTTAGCGCGGGAATGAACATGGAAATTTTTGCCGCTGTATTGATAATAGCAAAATCCCTTCTGATCGACTCTCCCACACCAGGATGTCTAACCTTTACAGCAACCACCAGTGGTTTTGCTTGCTTACCAGGATACCGATATTTTAATGTAGCACGGTGCACTTGAGCAATGCTTCCAGATGCAACAGGAACTTCTTCAAAATTTTCAAAAATTTCAGAAATTTTTCGGTTAAATGCTTTTTCTATGGTTTTCTTTGTGTAGCTGAAACTATGCTCAGGAGCTTTACTATGAAGTTCAGAAAGCTTGGTGCATAGATCTCGAGGAAAAAGATCAGGACGCGTAGCTGCCCACTGACCCCATTTAATGAAAGCAGGGCCTGCTCTTTCTAGTGTTCGAAGAACAACATGTAGCCACAGTTTCCTAAAATTTGGTCCAAAATAATCTGCAAACGGTCCCATCACAATGCTTGGAGAGAATAATACAGCTAGATAAAGAGCCCTCACTAATAAAACAACACCTTCAACTATCATGAATGTAAATGTAAACATGTAATTATACCCATCTCTTGCACGCATATACAATGCATCATGTGATGGGTATCGTTCTGCATCTCCCCATCTTCGTTGAGACAATGCAAGCTCTCCACATGCAAATGCAAAAATACCAGGAACCAGCAAATAAGAGCGAGTCAAAGACAAGCTCACCGCTTGAGCAATCATATTTATGGTGGGAGAAAATGTACTATCACAACTGGAACAGTACTTTCTGTACAGCCTTTTCCAAGCAATCTGAGAATGATGCGTGACGTCATTACTTGCTGAGGTTACAGAAAAGTTTCTAAAAGTACAGCATTTGTTATAGCTTTCCCTTGTTGCAAGCCACCAAAATGAACTACGTGTTGCGCTAAACTTATAATGCATGTAGAACCGGCAGTGGTGGGTATTTGGTCCAACCGAGGCAATTGGCCCATTTCTACTCACTTCCACGTATCTGCCTCTATTTATTCTATGAACAGATTGGGCCGCTCCCTTTATTTTTCTAAGCATCAAAAATCTGCAAATGAATGATCATGTCAATGACAAGAATGTTCTAAAAACATAACTCAGCTATATTTCCAAAAATTAAAACCATAAATATGGTAAACAAGCCATTACTATGGAAATGCTAGTTACACCGGCTTCTCTTCACTCACAAGCCAGAACCACAAAAAGCATAAAAAAGCAGATGAGTGTCAAGGGTGCATTTGGTAGAGCTTATTTAAAGCTTATTTGTTTTTACTGTTTGTCTTATGCCATAAACACATGCAAATGTAAGCATTTGAGAGAATTTATGAAAATAGCTTATAACATCTACATAAGTGGTTTCGCAGCTGATTTCAATAAGCTCCCCGATATACAACAACAACCAAGACTTATCCTATTAAGTAGGGTCGACTACATGGATCAACTTCCGTCATAATGTTCTAACCTAAACCATGCTTCTATCCAAATCATTAATGTCAAGATCTTTCTTAATAACTTCTCTTATAATTTTTCTAGGTCTTCCTCTACCTCTAACTATTAGACTCCTCTCCATCTGATCTACTCTCCTTATCACAGAATCTCCAGGTCTTCTCTCTACATACCCAAACCACCTAAGTCTATTTTCCACCATATTTCCTCTTCAATTGTAGAAATGAATTCTCTATGAGCGTCGATAGGATAATAACTTATTCAATAAGCACTTTATTTCACTATTTGCTTAACCACGCCTTAACTAAATATTAGACGAGTAAACCAAATGCCCAATCTTCCAAAAGGCATCAAGGTTGAAATCTAAGTTCTATAAAACAAGGGGTTGAAAACTTAGTTAATACAAGTATAAAATGCCCCAACTACTAGTTCCTCATTTCTTGGAATCTCCACCACCCATTTGTGGAAACTTAATGAAGTTGGATATTTCAATATCACTTTTTTTGTAGAATAGTTCAGATCTATACGTCTCCAATGTAGAGAGAAGATAACCAATTAAAACATCACGCAAAAAAAAAAAAAAAAGGTTAGAGTCAAAGAGAACAATTTCATTACTATGAAATCAAGGATTCATGGAAAATCACCAACTATATACATCTTTAGGTACATAGAATTGAAAAACAATAGAAAATTTAACGATTACAGTAGTATTGAATTAACCCATGATGCATTTATTTCATACATGAAACAAAAACTCAACCCCAGAAAGAAAAGACTAATTTTTTAATTTATTTTTGCATAGAATGATCGAATAAACGAAGCAACCGCAATGAAAGCAAGAAAACAAAAGAAATGGAATGGAATAATGATAGTAATTACCGCAAAATGCAAAGGGAAAAGGAAATGAAAAGAGAGAGGAGAGAAAACCTTGGAAGGAAGAGAACATGCTAGTTTGGTGAAGAAATGGAAGAAGCGATGAAGTAGCTGAGCCTCAGTTTTGTGCGATTGTGGTGGATGTGTGAATGTGATTGTGAAAAGATGTTTTGTTTTAGAGGCGGTCATGAATCATGTAAGAAACCCTAAGGTCCAAAAAAAAATATACATTTGTATTTTCATTCGAACCATCCTTAATAATTATGAGAATACAATGTTTTTATATATTTACTTAATAGAAATCAACGATCTATTATATTATTAAAAAAAATTAAAAGTAAAAGTAAAATATAATTAAATACATAATTATGATTGGTTAATAATATAAATTATTTTACACTGTTTACTTCTTTTCTCAATAATTAAACTCCTTGAAATAAACATGAAAACTTAAGCTTTTTGTTTTGAATAACATTTGTACAAGCATGAATCAATGCATATAGAATCCCTTTAAAAACTGGATGGATACTTTTCTCTGTGATATTGGGTAACAAAAAGCTTTATGTTTCTATAAATCAATTAATGGGTGCAAAAATAAGAACAATTCATAGCCACACTTTGGTACCGTGTCACGAAAGCTACCTATGCACAACGTGTCTCTTTTTTTAGTCGGTAACAACGTGTCTCTTTTATGACTGCATATATATATATATATATATATATATATATATATATATATATATATATATATATATATATATATATATATATATATATATATATATATATATATATATATATATATATATATATATATATATATATATATATATATATATTGATTGTATCTAATTAGAAAAAATCATCACTAGTCCACGAATTTAAGTTGAACGACAGTTGTTGAAGTAAAGTGAAGGGGAATGATCAGAGTGCAAGTACTATAGTAAGAGTGAATGAATGAATATTTGACCCTTTCACGTGAGAGGATATTTATAGCCCCCAGTGTTAGGTCAAGATCTTTGTTATTAGGTCACGATAAGACCCAATAGTGAAGACCGACAGGGTTACGTGAGTAATGGAGTCCAGCATGTAGCCTCCTCCTTGGTCAACTGCCCCAAGAATATAGAGAAGTTGGACCCGTTATTCTCGGTGGGCAGGATGATGACGGTTATGAGCAACTGCAAGTCATGTTCCCTTAGTGGACACGTGGAGAAATGCCCAACGGTTATTGCTTTGGGCTAGATGTCATTGGGCCTAAGTAGAGGTACTGGATTGGGCTTCCCCAACGGTGGGCCAAGTGTCAGCTCAGTCCAGAACAGGAATCCCCTAAGTTATTGTTCTTGGGCAAAAGAGTGATGACTTAAGATCAGTTTAACTGTCGGGGAAAGACTGCCAGACAAGGGAATAAACTTCCACCCTCGCCGCTCGTGGAAGAAGCGGCGCAAATAACCGTCGTGTTTCGGTCGGGGAAGGTTGTAACACTCAATTTCTACCCAATGAATTATATAAAATCAGAGTTACAAACGAACAAATGAGTTGCTACACATTCAACTTAGAAACAACGACATTCAACTGCCTATAGTTCAGATACATAACACATAAAATTCGGATGAACCGATAACCACATGTTTAGTCTTTAAAAATAAAACAACTTTCGTAATTAAGCAGCGGGATCACAATTTTTAATTCAAATGACTGTTTACAGTTATTTCTGGTAAACAACCGCTAGTCCTCCAAACTATCAAATAATCTTAATGACTGTTATTTAATCTCTCTGGTAACTTGCAGGATCGACTAGATTGATCCTATGGTGTATTGGTCATTTGGATAATTCTCATTGTAGAACTGATATTCATGGTTGGTATTTAGAATGTTGTGTATGTGTTTAACTTACTTCGATTACCCTATTAAAGATCTAATGACATGATCACGTAAATACGTGCGAAATTAAATTGCATGAATAAAGGTTCAATTGTAAAGACATGTAAAACTGCAAAAAGACAAGTAAATAACTTCGAAGTATAAAAGCATGTAATGTAAAAGAGTTTCTAGAATGTAAAAGATTCGAAATAGAAAGAAAGCGTTTAAATGCAAGAAATCGGTAAAATGACTTTGGATGAAAAAGTATTCGAATGATAAAAGCATGAAGATAACAGCATAAAAGGTATAAGAATCTCTGAAATGTAAAATACTCGGAATAAAAAGAAAGCGTTTTAAATGCAAGAAATTAGTAGATGACTTTGAATGAAAAAGATTTAAATGTAAAGGCTTTTGGATGATATTGACATGAAGATAAAGGATAAACTGGAAATGATAAAGAGTTATATTGAACCATAAATATTTGGTGTTATCATACGTACATTGTTCGAGCATTCGTTTCCCTAGCCATGTGGTATTTTGAATGTTTACTGAATTTTGTACAATAGATATGACACCCGAAATCCTAACGCTAAGACTTCTATTTATACTACTTCGACCATAACGGTCTTGCCTATAAGATTCTGCCACGTTCAGAACATGCAAAACAATGCCCCTCTCTAGCCTCCAGGCGTCTTCGAATGCTCCAGCGCATATATTTTAAATTTCGAACATACCGCTTGCGTTTGAATTTCAAATGTTTTGGCACTCTTCGCTTCGAACTCATTTCTTGGACACAGCCTTGTTACCACTTCGACTTCTTTTGAATATATCCCCATAACTGTCACTCGAAGCTCCGAGCTTTGACATGCCCATTCGAAGCACTGCTTCTACCATTTCGAAACATGACATCTTGCTTTATTCCAACGAAACATCCAACTTGCTTCGTTTCGAACTGTATCATCAAAATCTTCAGCCAACAAAATGCCCCTTTAAAATATGTATTTCGATCCTTTGAGAAACACTTATTTTAAATATATATGCAAGATTTTGATGTGACCTTTTGTTTACCTTGGTATTTGGTAAACAACCGCTGATCCTCCAAATGGTTACTTATTTGGTTACTCGCAGGATCGATCAGATTGATCCTAGGACATAGGTTGATTTTGAAGTTTTGATTAAATTGGATAAGGCTTTAAATGACAATAAAATAAGAGGCTTTAAGTAAACAGCATGAAGAAAGGACTTGGTAAAATAAATAAGGCTTTAAATGAAAAGGCTTCGACAGGAAAGTAAAGAAGAAAGCAAGTAAATTTCTGGAAGAGTAAATGACTTTGATTAATAAAGTTGGTGTTTCACACATACATTTCTCAACAATTCTTTCTCACACGCTGGGTACTCGAATCTATATGAGTGACTTTGTATAGAATTGTGAACACACGCGAGAAACTACATGACTACTACTATTTATACTAAAACATCCCAAGTAACCGTCGGGCAGTTACACTGCTTCGAGATGAGTCCACTTGGCACGTTCTCAACGTTCGACGCTCCAGATCTTTGCACGTTGCACTTGGTAACCGCTGGAAACCGTTTTCCCTCCAAACGCTTGAATTTCAAATTGTTCCACTCTGAACCATCGAACACTTTCGTCGAGAAGCATCTTCGACGAGAAACACCTTCGACGTCGAAGGCAACCAACTTCTCCCTTGGAAGAAATCTTCTAAGTACCTTGCCATCTTTCGATGGGCATTTCGACAGACCTAGCTAGTCGAAAACATCCTTCAGCTTTAATGGCTGATATTAATAAAACAAGGGTGTCGAATTTAGGAGCCAACAAATTGCCCCCCAAGAATGCCTTATTTCGACTCTGAAAGAAAAAGGCATTCTTTGAAACGCCATTCGACACCTGTCTTTTCATGCTTAGTCACAAATTAATTTGTGCACTTTTTGTTGTCTTCTACCAACCACTGGCAATCCCAAGAAAATCATCATTTATCCGTACCTAAGACGTCATGTCAGTACGGCGTGCAGTGCCAAACGTCATTTCAGAATTTGTCATTATGACAATTCCCAAAAACGAGGACGCACGCTGCGTCTCTCTATTTCTGCAGAACGGCTAAAACAACAGGGGGATGCCACACGTCCCACTATCTCCTGCAATAATTAAATGGCATTTAATGTCCTCGGTTTTGGGGATTTTCCCCCACTACTATAAATAGCAGTAAGTACCCCATTGTGGGACTTTTTACGCCATCTAGCTTTCAGACTTCTCTA